GATTATAATGTACTAGGAAATCTTTATGACGTATAGAGCATCATGTATAGGAGAGTCACGATTTGTTTATTTTATTATAGTTTTATTTTTCTGTGTATATAAAATTATCTTCATTTGCTATCTATTCAACGTGATCATCTAAGTAATCTTGAGTACTGCATGCATGGTTATGACGGAAAGGGAACAATCTTTCAGAAATGAACGATATATACTAAAAATAATGTACACTTATTCTTTTATACTAATGTTTCCACTCAAAGCCAAGAACAGACACATCAGACACAAAAATAACAGTTACAATGTACAGATAATACAATGGTTAGAGTCCAGTTACATGTAACATCATGAATAGGGTCTCCCCGCATGTCTATAATATACCCAAAAGCAGGCGCGTACGCAGGGGGGGGGGGGGGGGTTGGGGGTTAACCCCCCTTCAGTTATTTTTAGATGTGTATTTTGTAGCAACCCCCCCCCCCTTTGTGATTTTTTTCTTTTTTGTTTAAATTATGCCAATGGCTGACGTCAAAAAGGTGACCTTACCCCCCCCCCCCCCCCCTCAACGGAACAAAATGTCAAATTTGCAAATTTCGAGACCAAAAAAAGAAGCAAAAAAGTGTCATCTGACCCCCACCCCATCCCCCCGCTTATTTAGCTGCTGGCTGAGTCGTTGCGAAATTTTTGGCCCGATTTAAAAATGTTAACCCCCCCCCCCCCCCCCTTGAAAAAATCCTGCGTACGCTAGTGCCCGAAAGGGTTATCGAGATGATAAACAATTAGGTTTACAAATTTTAAAAGGTAAGTGTAACTTATCGTTCTTTTGTGCAACTTTATACTCCATATTCTTTTTTACCTTCAAATAAGACATGAAGGCTTAGAAACTTATATCGTATTTTTGGTATTTGGATCAAATCACATAAAATACAAAGCACAAGAATAAACAAAAATGTAGCATGTGGCCTGGTAACTCAATGCCCGAGTAAACTCCAAATACATAATTATACTTTGAATAAACAGTCGATGGCATTATACATTTATTATTGGCACCTGTAAGCTTGTTGATGTTAAACAATAAACATGACACATGTGGCGTACAAATTTAATGAAGATAAATATGATATTTGAGTAATGACTATAACTAAAGAGAGTATTTCTAGTCCGAATATTGTTTGCATATATCCTTAACAATTAAAATTGTGTACAAAGTGTAATCATCGGAATGTATCAGATGATTTGAGTTTAGTTCGCTGTGATGATTTTATTTTCCTTAGCATCGCATAGTCGACAACTATTTTATTAATGTAGTTTACTTTTTTACAAAGTTTTTTTCAAACGAATATGGTCAGGCCGAAGTTGATCAAATAAAATCAAACGTCGTGTTTACATAAAGGTGAGTTATGAAATATTATGTTAGCTATATACGATTTTATACTCCTTTTTGATGAATAAAAAATGCTCAACAAGACTACCTACATTGGCAATAAAGGAGAAATCTGTTATTCTAAATTCAACATGCTTATTCTGAATAAAATATAGAAATCAAATCAGTGTATTTGAGTACATATGATCTAACAATGACTAAATATGTAAATATACACATATTTTGATAATTTCAATCTTAGTGCAGCACTACCCTTTGACTTAATTGCATGGTAAAACAGGCCTTTAAAACAGAAATAGTAGCCCCTTATTATTACATTTTTGCAAATTGTTATTTCAAATTTGAAACCTGACTACACCAGGAACTGAATTTCCGATTAGAAATTTCCTCTTTATGGTTCTTTATAATAAACGACAATATCCTTCCGCGAGGATGGTGTTCCCTTTTCCCCACATAGCATGAGCTTAGATTCTTTGGAGTTATACCCACGGAGATAAGATGTCCTGCCTGTTTCTTGTTTTTATGTTTAGTTGATTTTCATAGTAAATTTTGTACCATCTGTAAGATCAACCCCAACTCCGAACAAGCTAATTTGAACACAGAAAATAAAACGAGAGAAGGAGAGTGGAAGTCTTTGAGGAATATCATTTTGTATCGACATGAGTAGGGTGGGGGGGGGAAGTTTCAATGAAGGTTATTGCCAGAGATATAATGAGGGGCGGGGCGTTGCAATGAAGATTGCATAATGGGGGAAGGGGTGTTTCAATGAAGGTTGCATCATAGTCATGTTACAATGAAGATTGCTGCCTATTGGAGACATATTAACAACTCTGTCACGAAGTTGAAATAGTACCTTATGCACACTTAAGAAGTAGTTTGGTATTATTTTCCTTCCAACTTTTACAGATGTAAATAATACCTCAAATACCAAAAACTACAGGAATATTTCGGTATAGCAAATATGTTAATGTGCCTTTTTTTTTGTTGGTCAATTACATATTTTGAAAACTAACTCTGCATTTCGTGTTTTTGTTTCTTTATAAAGGATAGACAAATTAAGCCCCATAGCTGTTTTGTTCCTTGCAATCATCATTTTGATAATAAATGCTCCAAAAAGTAATTGTCAGAATATCATCAATGCCTACTTTTTCCTTATCTCAATTTACCCCCCCCCCCCCCAAAAAAAAAAGCATACCCCTCATAGCGATATTCTCTAAATCTATAAATCGACGTTATAAACTTCCTTCACCAATGTAAATCATAAAGGGTTAAATCATTTCGCGTTCCCCCAAAAGCATGAAATAGGTCTCTTGTATGTTATGTTTGTTCTGCGGAATTTAAACCTTGTTATAATAAATCTGATGTTCCTCATGCCTTTGCCAAAACTTTATTAATAGTAATATTATCTATCCATGGCTTGTATGAAATGAATTCATGTAAAAATATTGTTTTTCTTCTAAAAACATTAAAGCATTAGTGAACACACAGAAATATGACAAGCTTTGTTCGATATGCCATTTTTCTTGACGTTTAGGAAAAAAATTATTTCATAAAAGTCTCTTCACGGTTCCATGACCATCCACATTGTGAATAACTTTGTATCTCGAATACTGAGCTGTAGTAGGCCTATATACATCGTACGAGTAGTCTAATACACCTTTTCCGGAATATAATATTCAACCGATTTCAAAAGGTCATGTTGAAGTGAAAATGGATACGATTTACATCAAGATCAATAATCAATCTTACGACAGATTAAGCATTCTGTTACAAACATTTTGAGAAACACGAATATTCCGTTTGAATTTTAAAGTGACAGTGAGAACCAAAGGTAAATTCGTCAAAGATGAAATGATTATAATAAATAATAATACATTGTATTTCTAGAGCGCTTTATACAATTATATGTTTCTACAAGCGCTTTATAAAAAAATTGCGATTCTCGGATAATAGTCCATTCAGTATCATATTTACAAATTATAATTAATGTATACTTATCAACCTACATTAGTGCAAAATATATAAGCACAGAGACATCATGATCAAGGAAATACATTAAGATACACTGGAATACAATCAGTTTTAGGCCAAAAACATTACAAATTCACACTATGAATATGACGGACAAATAAAGCGGACAAAATATATAGTTCATCAGGTAGACAAAGGAACATCCCTTCACTGCTATTATGTAAAAATGTGTAGAACAGGTGTAACATGCATATTCACCTGTTCTACACATTTTTACATAATAGCAGTGAAGGGATGTTCCTTTATCTACCTGAAGAACTGTATATTTTGTCCTCTTTCTTTGTCCGTCATATTCATAGTGTAAAGGCAATTACATAACATGTACCGTGAATAACAAGAGTGTGACATTGAAAGCTACAGATTAACGGGGAGAGTTAAAGAGGAATGTTTTTAGGGAGGATTTAAATGAGTCCAACGAAGGAGCATCCCGCAACTCAAGAGGAGGCCTGTTCCAAGCCTCGGAGCAGCTACGCTGAAGGCACGGTTTCCATTATCTTGTTCGAGTTCTTGGTCCCAGGACCAGTTGCAGATGAGCATAGGTGGATGAACGAAGTGATATAGAGGTTATCTTCTTGTACCTATGTACCTATGTTAACCAACCACCTCTTGTACCTAAAATCTAAGGGAAGTCATTAAAGACCCCATTCTCACCTACTTCCTGGACCGGTCTACGTAAGAGCGGTCTAACGGTGACGATGAAGACACAACCGTGCCAGGAAGCGTACCTCTGAACCGGTTCGTTCCTGTACTGCTCCAGAAAGCTCTTATGTTCAGTGTGAAGACAAACCGTAATGGATCGGTCTAACGTAACAGAAAAATAAGTGAGAATGGGGTCTTACTACACTGTGCCCCCCCCCGCCCTCCGTTGAGCAAAAATTTCCAATCATTGGACAATAAATTTGAATATGAATAAATTTAGGACATTTTTTAAACATCTTTTCACGAAGTGATTGTGGAGGTATGATTATTCTTGATACATAAAGTTTATAAGTTCTTAGAACTCTATTGATTAATTTAAGAGTCATAGAGATTGATTAATACTGTTCTGAGAAGATATAAACTTAATCTATCAAGAAGAAACCATATTGCACATCCTTTCATAAAAAGAGGGGACAAAAATCAGGGCTGTCAACCTTCACGTATTTGGAGGGAGACTCCCGCCACCATGCTGATTCTCCCGCCGTCCCACCAGCTCGTAGCGGGAAACTCCCGCCACCACGCCCTTCTCCCGCTTTTTTATTTTTATTGCTCACTACCCCCCCCCCCCTCCCTCCGTTGAGCAAAAAGAAAATTACAAACGATCTCCCTTGAAGCAGTTCCCCAAACTTGACAGCCCTGCAAAAATATATAGGAAGCAGTGTACCACACTAAAATGTTTCCAGTGATCATTTTGATTCATTTAGATGTATCAACCTTAGCGTACAAAGCCTCTTTATCTTCATCATCCTTGTTCAGGGTTGCGGAGTGACCGCTTGGTTTTGGCTTCACTGTAGGCCGCTTCTCTTTATAGATCCTGGACCTTTATCAAGCACAGCTTAGAGTGGGATCTCACCACTATTATTTCGCGTTCCTGGTCCAGGTGTGGCCTTCATCATGTTTTCTTTAGACCCTGGTCTCTTTTGCATCATCCTCTCTAGATACCGATCCTGGACTAGTGTTCATGGTATTTCTTGTGGATCTTGGTCCTTTTTCAGGCATTGCATAGATGGGGATATTTCTATCGTCGTCCTCTCCGGTTCCCAGGATTGGCATGTCAATATTCTTATGCTGGTCCTCTTGCTTGAATTCGTTCTGCTCATGCTGATGACGATTTATCGAGCTGTTGCTATGGGAACTGACAGGTACGATCTCTGTCTTTGCGACACGATTTATGATTCCTGTCTTGTCCGGTATGGTGTAGAGATCGGTGTTTGACTGATCATCCCTTGATCGCAAAATCGAATTCTGGATAATCCCATCACTGAACTCGCATAGAACGTTATTCATCAATTCACCTTGTCGAATTCCCGACAATCTGCCAAACGACCGGTAACTTGTATCCTGTTTACGATCTGTTGCAACTTCATCATCGATCGAGTCATTTATTTCAACCGCATCACGTTCAGCTTGTTGTCGGTCTCGTCTTTGCTTCAACCGTAGAACAACAATTATCACAATAGCAGCAATTATCAAGATACAACCAAGAGTGGTAATCATGATTACCATGATTGTAAGACTGTTGTTTTTAGTACTGGTTTCTGTTTCTGGGTGTATATTCTTTCTCGTGTGGTTAGACGTTGTAGTTCCAAAAGTCAAATAAGAAGTGTCCATAATCGGTGACGAGGTTGACTTTGGCGTCGAGTCATACGATTTTGTTTCTGCTGTTTTGATCGATGCTGACGTTGTCTCTGATGTGGTTTCTGACTTTGTCGCTGATGTTTTTGCTGATGTTTTTGATGGTGACGTTGGTGACGTTGTTATCGGACGGATACTTGGAGACGGTGTAGTTCCAAAAGTCAAATAAGAAGTGAAAATATTCGGTGACGAAGTTGACTTTGGCGTCGAGTCATTTGATTTTGTTCCTGCTGTTGTGATCGCTGCTGACGTTGTCTCTGATGTGGTTTCTGACTTAGTTGCCGATGTTTTTACTGATGTTGTTGATGATGATGACGTTACTGATATTGTTATCGGTGGGGTACTTGGAGACGTTGTAGTTCCAAAGGTAAAAAAGGAAGTTTCCATAATCGGCGACGAAAATGGCTTCGGCGTCGAGTCATATGATTTTGTTCCTGCTGTTGTGATCACTGCTGACGTTGTCTCTGATGCGGTTTCTGACTTTGTTGCCGATGATTTTGCTGATTTTGTTATCAGTGAGGTATTTGGAGAAACTTTAACCAGAGTAAAATGTTGTGGCGTTGTTAGCTGAGCTGTTGCGATCGCTGCTGTCGTTGTCTCTGTTGTTGTTGTTTCTGACTTTGTTGCCGATGTTTTTGCTAATGTTTTTGATAATGACGTTGCCGAAATTGTTATCTGTTGGGTACTTGGAGACGTTATAGTTCCAAAATCCAAATAAGAAGTGTACATAATAGGTGACGAAGATGACTTTGACGTCGAGTCATATGGTTTTGTTTCTGTTGTTTCTGACTTTGTTGTCGATGTTTTTGATGATAACGTTGCTGATACTGTTATCGGTGAGGTACTTGGAAACAGGTTATACAAGGAATCACTTTCTGGTGTTGTTAGCTGAGCTGGTACAATACAAGTTACGTTCGACAGAGTATCATTAAATGGATTAAACTCAACTTGGATTGTACCATACATCATGGGATTCGAAATATTGAAGATTAAAATATTATCTTCGATGACGGCTGTATTTGTTCGGTTCCTGTTCATTGTAATATGAAGTCGAATTCGTTCATCTGTATTAAAATTGTTAAGATGGCAATTCACATCCTTTCGTGGTTGTTCCAAACCGTGTGGCGATGATGCGTTTACAAAGCAAGTCGAACATCCGATGACACGGACGTCGTATTCTTGAACGTGATGACTATTGCTATACCGACATGCATATATTGCCGATTCTGCTCTAGCATCATATATGTACAATTCAAATAATCCAGAAGATATTTCCATTTCATACGACTGTATAAAACGACTATCATCATACACCACACCTTCAGGATAATCCACATCGACGGCTGCAATTAAATACCGGTCTATAATCCAATATATATCGCTCGTGTATCTCGTATTGCAACGAATAGTTATATTCTCTCCAGCATTGGCTACAATGATTTCACGTATCACATCATTTTGAGCCTCTGCGAATAAAAGCATCCCAAGAACGTATACTACTGCAGTAAAGATAATCATCTTTGATTTATGCAACGCCATTTCGATTGAAAGCTAAAGTATGTTTTGCCAATGAATCCAGAATATGCCATATATTTATATTCTTCGACGCAAAGAACAGTTTCGTGTCGCGTGCACAATCACCTGAGAAATAACACAACCGCATCGTTAAAACAGAGACAGGATCTTTTTTATTCTAACGTACCACTGAACTCTAACACTGTACGTTTTGGGTTGTTTCTGGAACCATTTCCATGATCTTTACGGATTGGCTCCAGAGCGCCCCTATCGGATCGTAGGAGCAGAGTCTCAGCCGGGGGGGGGGGGGTCCAAGAGGTCCCGGACGCTTCTGAGTTTTTACCCTTCAAGATGGCACCGTCACGAGCACAGGGCTATCATATTATTTCGTAAGAATAATCTCTATTTCAAGGAAAAATATATTTTCGTCCACAAGTCTACATCGGCCATGTTATTTATATGTACACATTTTAATTTTATGTTCTTCCCTCCCCCCCCCCCCATCTCCCCCTTTTCATTTCCTCTCCTCCTCTATCATCTTCTCTTCTCTTTCTTTTGTCCTTTTTTTCCGTCGCTCTCTCTCTTATCTTTCCCCTTTTAAGGGCACAAAAAAGAGGGAGGGGCCGCCGCCGATTTCCCCACCCCCGCCAATGATTTATACATTTTATGCACACATTACGCAAAGCATGCAGTGGGGTGGGGTATCCACCCCATCCAATACTTTGCCGTCTCGTTACTCAGGGTAGTAATTTTGTTTTTATTAAAAGTGTTACTACTTTTCCTCTTTTCTTTTCTTTTACTACTTTTCTCCTTCTTTTCTTCTTTTTCCAACTGTCGCTCACCCTATTTTATAAGTGCGTCACAAGGGGTTTGCGACATATTTGGCTCAACCTGCATCCGTCACTGCATTATGCGTAGCTTGCGGTGGGAGGGGGCGGGGGGGGGGGGTCCATCCCATCTTATTTGTTGCCAACCCGAATACTTAGAGTTGCAAAAAAAATTCTTTTCCCCCTGTCTCTCTCTCCCTTTCCTCTCCCCTCTCTTAATAATAATAATAATATGTCTTTTTACCCATGCAGGGTAGCCTCATCAGTATACATACTGTTCTCCCTGAAGACCCTGCAATCATTACCCCGGCTTTAGCCGAGCTGCCATGAAAAGGTGCTCAAGCATTCAGGGAATTTCTTCCTACCGGGTACCCATCACCTGGATGGAGTATGGCATATGTAGATTAGTGTCTTGCCAATGGACATGAACTGGGAACCATGCGAGTCGGCTGTAGGTGAATACAGAGAGCTGACCACTACACCAACTAACGTCTCTCTTTGCAAACAAGCTTATAAAAACACAAGTAAAGAATTTTAACCGTTCCCATTGAAAATCTTGATTAAGAGTAGCTCTGATTTAGATTCGATATTGGGACATCGATATATTTTATACACTAATAATTATGTAGGACCCTAATTTATTGGAAATAACAGCGCAAGGTAATGATCATTTACTGTGAAGTTTACGGAAAATTCGCATTCATCCAGGCTGATATGAAAGCAGTTAAAGAAGAAGCAGGTCAGTGAAAGTTTGAGCAAAATTAGTTTAAAAAGAAATAAGAAAAATTTGAAGTTGTAATCAATCAAACTTAAATGTTCAACTCTGTGACATATCTTTTGACGTTCTGTCCCATTTCTCTGTACAGAAAATATTCTATTAGTCATTGGCGGATCCATGAATTTCTAACCGGGGGGGGGGGGGATCGCATGGGGTGAAATAGATGAAAAACGGTTTCATACGGTAAAATTGGTTTCTCCTACCCCCCCCCCCCCTCCCTCCAAGAGTAGGGATCTTTTGCAATTAAAGAATCACATTTGGCGCATTAATGTCCACCGGCACTTCCTGAAAAAAACGAGGCCTTCTGATTGGTTAGAAGTTTGAGAAAAGTGATATGTCAAGTCGCGAGACGTTGTATATGCTTCGTTGCTGCACACTGCACAAAGACGGTGGTGGGGGCCGTTTCTCTAAACCAACTCCATGACATTCATATCTTTGTCGGCGACCTACGGAGATGTCATGAAGTGGATAAACCGTTTCACTCAGCCATGACAGACATGATATCAATATATTGCAATATATTGCGATACTAGCACCTCAAGAGCATAGTCTTTTTCACGATCCATTTGATTTATCAGGAATAACCCAAAACAAGTTTTGGGGCTAAAATTGTTCAAAAAGATTATACATATATATTCTCCTAAAATAAATAATAAATAGAGTCATTCTCAAATGTAGATCATCAAACGATTGCATATTTCTGTAAAGATTCTTAAATTGACGAAAAACCAGTGAGTGTTTTTTTTCGACAGTCGAATCAAAAGTTAGTTGAAGGATACCGTAATGTGATAGTTTATCAATACGTACTTTTTTGTTTATTGTGACGAGGAATTTTAGGCAAAATACCTTTATTCAGCCAGTTTTTATTCTAGAGTCTCATAAATACTCGTTATATAATTGATTTGATATTGAAAATATAATTTGGAAGAAGTAATTAGAAGGGGAATAATAATGCACATAGGCCCCAAAGGTATGATGGTATCCTAAGAAAAGACTATGGATCGAGTATGGACAACGGTGTGTAACATTCTTATCTCTTTTTTTTTTTTGATATCTTATAGTTTGATGATTTGTGATTTAATGTTTATATTCAGCTTTTTAAAATTTCTGTATAATTTGTATTATCACTTCTTTACATTTGCGTTTCGCATCCCAGAGAATTACGACCGAACTCGTCTATATTTTTCTCAAAATGATAGTGAAACTAATCGTACATTTCGCGGCCCATGGAATAGCAACAAACTGACTTGTGATGGCGCTTTACAGCAATTAAAAAGATATGACGGGTTCGGAGCAGTGACAACTCTTTGTCGCGGAAGTTGTCGCTCATCTTGGCAAAGACGGCTTTGTGAAACACTTAGCTGACAAGTTGCGTGACAGTGGCGAGATGTCGTTGATCTTGTAGTTATGACGGTTTTGAAAAAAGGCCCCCTGGTACTTTACTAGTAGTACAATTATAGTAAAATTATCTCGAGTGTATAACTTGTGTTGTTATCGGGGGCGTAGCTAGACCCTTTTTTCAGCGGTGGGGGGGGGGGTGTAGAGCCCACCGATTACCGACAAAACTAGCCACAAATTACTGTCAAATATATCAATGCCAATGTCCCAATGTCTACCAAATTAACCCTATAAACCCGGGGCCAGGAACTAAGTTATTTTTCAGTTGCCCCTCCCGCGCGGAAGCTTTGTGCACTTCATTAAATTATTAGAGAAAGCAGACGAATCGTTGTACCGTTCCCGACTCTTAATTCTTGTTTCGCCCCTCCCGCGCGAAGCGCAGAAGCTATGACGTATTATTTGATTATAAGAGAAAGAAGACGATTCGTTGTACCGTTCTCGACTCTTAATCCTAGTCTTAATTCATTTGCCCCTCCCGCGTGACGCGTGGAAGCTTTGACGTTTCATCAAATTATTACTCTTAAACCTTGTTTGAATTCACTTCTCCATTATTCTCCTTTTACCTCTTTTCTCTCCACCGTCTTTCTCCCTTTCTTCCTTTTCTCTCCTCTCTCTTCCCCTTTCTTCCTTTCCCCTCCTTTTCTCCTCTCCCCTTTTCTCTCCTCCCTCTTTTCTTCTTCTTTCTCTCTTCCCTTTTCTTTCTTTTTGCCCTCCTTTTTCTTTCCCCCTTTTTCTTTTCCCCTCCTTGTTCTCCTTTTCTCCCTTTTCATTTCCCCTGAATCCGCCACTGTGAGTTGTTGATGATGGAATAGATTCGTTTTATACGGAAGTTGTGTAAAGCAAACGTGCAGTGATTATATCTAGCGTGT